GTGGGGGATAGGATATCGGTCTGGTAACGTTTGCACGTTAAGTTGTCGATAATCCCCACAAGGTGCAAATTCCTTGACTTAACATGTACTCGAATTCTTGACGGGCTATCTGCGATATACTTGGGTTCATCCCCCGAGTGCGTGGAAAAACGGGACGTCCGCTAGTGTAGATGTGATGCTGGACTGTTGTTTTTGTTGTCAGGTGTTTGAATTTGGCTAAGAGTTGCTGATATTTGTTGTCGCTGTTGATTGAAGAGACTAGAGAGTAGGCTACAATTTCGGCAATGCACAACGTCTGCAACTTCGTTTGGTTATCAATAATTCGCTAGTTAGCGGCGTCGACCAATAAGTTATAATTTTCGAGGAAGTCGGCACTTAGTATTGACTTTGAAACATCAGTGATGGTGAAATACCAGGCGAAACTTTTCCTCAGCTCCAGATTCAGTGTTAGAAGTTTAGAACCGTATGACCCATTTACTGCGAACAGTGTACTTTCGGTGGACTTGGGTTTAGGATTGAGAATTGCTGTTATTGGGAACACTAAGAAATCTGTACCCGTATCCACTATAAATTTGAGTTTAGTCTTCTTGTCTACAATGAACAGATGGCTTGACTTGTAACCACCAGCTTCATCTACCGTCTCTGAGGAAGCTGTATTCAGTTTCCCGATGCGTTGTATTTGCAAGGTTTGGTACATTTGATTGCTTTAGCACCAAACCTGTAATGATAAAAACAGAGGGGTTGCTTACTGATCTGATTTGTAGAACGCGTGCGAATGTGTTGGACTGGATCACGATCTGGAGTTCGGAATCGAGATCTTCTGGTTGCATATTGTTGCTGTTTTATTTCAGTTACCTCTTTGTTGAACTCCAAGACGGCATTTTTTATAGCTTGCATTTCTTTAATTAATGATGATTGCGATGGTTGAGAAATTTTTGCGCCATCTGCTGAGGCTATGAAACCATAACTCCCCATCTCCATCATTTTATCAGCTCGAAGTGCACATTTGTCAAGGTCGGCGTTGGCGATGGACATAACAGCTCGCACTGCAACGGGCAAACGATGTAGCCAAAATTGTTTCAATGCGCCATCGTTCATGGCTCCTGCTGCCAAGTTCGCATCACGCGAAGTAACGGCTTGTCGTCGTGCAGTTCGCATTATAGTATAAATCTGCGTAGCCTTTTGTTCTCAGAGTCGTCAAAATCTCGGATAAGGCGATTGTTTATTACATCATACTTTTTTTGTGACGGAGGTGATCGTATTATGTCCGCGACATTTCTTAGTGTAGAATCATCTAATGACCCAATCACGTAGTCGTATTTAGTCTGGTCTTGTGTGATATGTGCGTTGCGAAATTATGCCTTCACCTGCAGGAAGTATAAGTCAGGATCGCGTTTACTAAATACAGGCGGCCTAAAACCAATGCGACAAATTTCTGCCGGTGCTGTACCTTGCTGTACGGTCGTGCTGATTGCTGCACTTACTGCCTCGCCTTCATTCATCATATTTCAGCTTGCCAAAAAATTGAATTGCGAGATTCTGCTGCTGCAACTTCGTTTTTTTTCACAAAATGTTGTTTAAGTCCGGGGTCACACCAAATGTCGTGGTGCGCACTGTGTGTGAGTATTTCACAATTAATTAAAGTATACAAAGTTTGTTGTGTTACACAACTAAATCAAACTTTACTTAAATAACAACGAAATGGTAATCAACAGTAAGTTAACGCAACAATAATATTTTTAATTTAACCATTTAATTACAAAAGTTAAGAGCAAATTTATTAAGTTAAGTATAAATTCCGACAACGCGCTAAAAACATCAACTATTCACTTTCATAGTTACTCCGTTAGTTCTGTTTTTTTATTTTGTCTTTTTGCATCATTCGAACTCTGTACAATCAGAGATGCCAGCTGTGTTGTGTAATGTAACAATTATTTACATCTAGTGTTTACGTTTTTTATACGTTTTTGATTGTTTGGATGTTCGCCACAGACTCTTATAACACAACACAATTTGGCGCAACCACAACCCAGCTAGAACATCCTATTGTTACGTAATCGTCTTTTGCAATTTAATCTTAACTTCCTCGTTCGTCTCACTGGATTTTATAAAATAAAATAACATTTTTGACTTCAAATACTATACGCCTTATTCAACAGAAGTATTTGATAATAGAGTTTTATTCGGAGCAATTATTCGAAACACAACCCTAATGACAAAATTCTAACTAACTTAAAATGCAAACTGATATAATCAAATAATTTTCAATCGTTCCATTGCTGATATGATTAAATTCGTAACAATATGCATTCTTTCGGACAGCCAAGCAACTCTAAAATCTTTAGCAAAATCTTCATTCCAATCAAAGTTGGTCTAGGAATACTTTCAACTTCTCAATACCCTAGAACTGTGTGCTGTGTTACCCTTATATGGGTACCGGGACATGAAGGGTATGAGGGCAATGAAATAGCAGACTCCCTAGCAAAGAGGAGTGCATATACTCCTTTAATTAGTCCAGAGCCCTTCTGCGGGGTAAGAAATATCTTCACAAATAACATATTATGTGAACGGGAGAAACATAATCTACTTGAACACTGGAGACCCCAAACAGGCATGCGGCAGTCAAGAAGATTCATTGATCCTGAACACATCAAAGTTGATGCGATCCTTACTAAAAACGATATTAAAATCTACACTGAACTTCTTACAGGACACTGTAGACTTAATTACAACATGAAGATTATAGGTGCGGTAGAAAATGATTCCTGTTGACTCTGTCATGAGCAGAAGAAAATATCAGAACATATCTTATGCAACTTCCCTGCGACGGCAAGACGTAGACTCGACTACCTTGGAAGCGGGATCTTAGTCCCATAACATATAGGTAAAATAAGCCCACAACATTTACGAGATTTATAAATAGTCTAGAATAATTTCAGTTGGGCCTTTAGGCGCACAATAGATCTTTTCGGTCAAGGTGCATTCATAGCCTATTATTTAATAATAATATTCACCTTCATCATAAGTAAAAAGCACGTCATATACAAAAATACACACATGATGCTATGACCGTGTTTATTTATTATGTTTGCATGTAATCCCAGACCAAAATCCAATACATCGTCTTGATATTACAGCTCAGGTGTTCAAACAAAAATTGAAGTCTTTAATGAGCCACCAAGCTTATTAGTGTTAGCTAAAGACGAACTGACATGTATTGAGAAAATGGCACTCCTAGAGTAAAACCAAAAATGATTTTGTGGTACACCAATGGTTCAAACACCAAAGAAGGAGTTAGTGCTGGAATATTTTGTCCTAACACCAGAATCTCGCTCGCACTACGCATATGGCTGTCTTCCAAGCAAAAGGTTCCCGCCATGTGCGTCTGCGCTCGTATCAACATTACCAATGGATTAAAAGGCGCCCGTATTTGTATTCCTATTTGAATTATTACTCAGATAGTCAAGCAGCAATCAAAGCATTATCCTCTTGGAAGTTTTTCTCAAAGCTTCTGTTAGACTGCTATGACACGCTGCAGCAGCTGGCAAGCAAAAACCAAGTCATGTTTTGTTGGGTGCCTGGTTACACAGGAATCAATGATAATGAGTCTATCGGTGGTCTTGCGGAGCCTTATTCTGGTTTAAGCTACTGTCGCGACAGTCGAGGTAATAGTTAGGCTAAAGAGCTAATTCATCCCCACAGTTATGGTAAGATATCTTTCTTCAGCAAAACAGAGTTGAGGTTGCTTGTGGAATATTTAACAGGTAACCATAGACTGCAATTTAACAAAATGGGTCTGTCCGAAGAGATAGAGAGAACTACTCTCCCCTTCTGACTTTAGGCGATCGTCAAGGCCGACATTCGGAACGTCTTCTGTTCGGTTAGGGTCTGTTGCAGCACAAAAGATCAATTATGGTCGCAGTGCTCCGCTCCGTTGGGAGCTAGTACCCAATTTATTTCTATGCTATCCTATTATTATGTCTTATTGTTATTAACTGTTGAAGTCGAAAATGTAAAAAAAATTTGGTTTCCCCTAAGTTTTTGCAACAAACTGTATGTCATACATAACATATGTTCCATATTATCTATAATCAGTATGCTATGATTTTAATCAATTTTCAGTTTAACAAGTATGCAAAATCGCGATGTGGATGTTTGTTTCTTAATCACAACAAATGAGAGTAAAACCCCAAGATTATATTTTTAGAAATTAATTTGTAATCTTATAATATTAAATTTAATATTCTATTTGATTCACTGAAAAACACATAATTCACATAAATTATTCCATCACTCTAATTCAAGAATAACTAAAGACTTCAACCAAGACTTTTTTAAAGTCACTTCCTAAAATACTTGCTATTAGTGAAAGAAAACAAACACTAAAGTACCGAACATATTGTATTGTTTGTCATCTTAGATAAAAAATCACAACGAACAGTACATTACAAAAAATCCGAAACAATTCACAAAATTTTTATATTACCTGATATGTACAGATAATACGTATTGTTACAATATAATCTATATATTCCTACGCTATAATGTAAATATTATATATGATA